ATTTTTGAGGGGCCCCCCCCAAAACGCTCCATTTCCCACCCTCTGACGCTGCCGCATGTCCCATGGCAGGTGCCTGTGCCCGGTGGGCTTTGAGGGCCCGAGCTGCCACAGCACCAGTGACCCCTGCAAGGAGCACAGCTGCGAGAACGGGGGCTCCTGCGTGCCCAGCGCCACTAACTACACCTGCCTGTGCCCTGCCCGCTACACAGGTACCCGCAATGAGGGCTAGCCATCTCCAAACCTCATGGGCCTGGCAGGGGGATGTGCCCAGCATTTCTCCCTTCCACCTGGGAAGGCTAATAGCTCCTCTCCTTGCCATCTTGCTGCCCCTCACTGTGGTCTCTGGTCTACTCTGGGGCACGAGCTGCCTCTGGCACAGCAGAGCTCTGTGCCCGTGGCAGTGCGAGCTGCGGGCTTGACAGCTCCCTGCCTTGAGCTGAGCCCCCCCGTGGGCTCCTCCTGCCCTGCGGGGTCCAGGGATGCCCTCTGCTCCTGGAGCTGTGCAGGGAGCAGGCTGGGCACCCCCTGGCACCCCCTTTTCTGTCTCACAGGGGATTTCTGCGAGCAGCCACCGGATTTCTGCTCAGCTGAGCTCAGCCCATGCCAGCATGGCTCCACCTGCATCTCCACCAGCCAGGGGCCCAGGTGAGCCCCCCATCTCCAAGCTGCTTTCTCCTGTCTGTCCAGCGGGATGGGTGTTTGCTTCTGGGAGGCTGCAGCTGGCAGGCTGGCGAGGGGGCACGGGGAGGGGGACGCCGGAAAGGAGGGGGCGGCCGGGAGCCCCCTGCCTGCCCCAGGTGTGAATGTGCGCCCGGCTATGTGGGGAGCAACTGCAGCGAGGACTTCGACGACTGCCAGGACCACCGGTGCCAGAACAACGCCCGCTGCCTGGACGAGGTGAATGGCTACTCCTGCCTCTGCAACGAGGGCTACAGGTACAGCCAGGAAGATGGGAGGGCACTGGGAGGTCATGGGGGTGGTTACATGTCACTGTGCAAGAGGGACCGGTCCTGACTCATGTCCGTCCGTCCATCCATCCAGCCCAATGCAAGAGGAAGGAGTGGGGCTGGGGGTGTGGGTCTCCAGGGATGGAGGCTGAAGGGAGCCAGCATCTCTGTGGAGGGACCCCAGGGCAGGGTTCAGCATCCCTCTGATGCCGCTGGCTAGAGAACCTCCCTGGGGACCCCAAAACAGGGTGGTGCTGTCAGAGCCCCATGGGGCGGTAGGCAGTGGGTAAGGTGCTTTCCCAGCCCCGTGCCCAGCAGCACCCTTGGCTCCGCAGTGGCCAGCTCTGCGAGATGCCACCCCGTGCCGCTGGCCAGCCCGGCCTCTGCGAGCGAGC